TGGAATTATCCACATATTTACCACTTCTCATTTCTTCTGCATTTCTGACCCTCCATCTGGAATAATTTTCCATCTATTTAAAGCACAGTATCCCTCCATATACTTGGGGGATTGTTTCCATGACCCTCCTTTTTATAATCAAATCGACAAATACTCAACTCCCACGGTCAGCCCTGCAAAACCCACCTACACAAAAAGTCAGCTCTCCATATATGCAGGTTTCTCACCCTTAGAATAACATATTTGGTTGAAAAGAAGCCATGTATAAGTGGAACTGCACAGTTCAAAGCATGTTCATCCAGGGTCAACTGTATATCCTTTAGAATTTCATTTTTCTTGATTATGTTGTTGCCAAACTCTTCTAGTTTGTCTGAGATGTTTGTATTTCACCTTTATGCATTTTTTAGCATAAAAATAATTTATACCTTATAATTTATTCTTTTAAAATAGTAGAAATGACTGATTTCCATTTAAACAGAATGGACAAATTGTGATACAGGTAGAGACATACAGTGACATGAATGAAAATGGAAAAAGAACAAACCACTGATAAAGACAACAACATGAATGAATCTCAGAGACGAAATATTGAGTAAAAGGCAGAACCCATCCCTTGCTGCTTTTAAGATGTTCTGTCTTTGTTTTCCTTCACTTTCACAATACTATGGCCAGGTGTGGATTTCCTTTTATTAATCCTGCTTGGAATTCCATGGGCTTTTAGAATCCCAGGAAGTACGATTCATCTGTTAACTTTTTAGCTATTATCTCTTCACATAATGCCCTTCCTCACTCACTCCTTTCCTCCTAGGACTCCAGCGAAAGGGATGCTCGGCCTTCTGGCTCCATCATTACTACTGCTTCTTTTTATATCTTCATGCTGCATTCTGGATGATTCCAGTTAATGAATGCTCTCTCTTCAGCTGTGTCTAATCTGCTGGTGAATGCTTTCATTTAGTTTTTAATTTTGCTCATAATAGTTTTCCATTCTAGAAGTTTTATTTGTTTTGTTGTTCAGATTTCATGTATCACTTTTTAGAGTTCCTTGTTTCCTGTAGATATTTTTGAGTTTTTTAAAAAAAAAAAAAATCTCCTAACATAGTAACCGTAGTTGTTTTATATTTTGTGCCCAATAATTCCAATAGCTCATATGTTCGTGGGTCTGCTTCCGTGGCCTGCTGTTTCTACTGGTTCTTACTTATCCTGCCTTGTTGTGTGCCTAGTTATCCTTGAATGTATGCTGGCCATTCTCTTTAGCTATTATTTAGGAATAATTTCATATCTGGGATGATGGCACTTCCATCAAGATTGGACATTTGTTTGCTTCTGCCAGGTACCTGAGGGCACTATCCAAGCAGGACCACCTTAATCTAAGTGCAAAGCTTGATGTTATCTAGAATACTGAGGGGGGAAAAGACAAGACCACAGGGTAGTATAATGGCTAACCTACGTGCAGTTCATCTTTGCCCTATAGGTCTTACCCTTCAGGTTTTTTTTTTTTTTTTTTTTTTTTTGGAGACAGGGTCTTGCTCTGTTGCTTGAAGTAGAGTGCAGTGGTGTCATCATAGCTCACCACAACCTCAAACTCCTGGGCTCAAGCAATCTCCCTCCCTCAGCTTCCCAAGTGGCTGGGACCACAGGCGTGCCACCACACCTGGCTAATTTTGAAATTTTTTGTAGAGACGGGGTCTCGCTCTTACTCAGGCTGGTCTCAAATTCCTGGCCTCAAGTGATCCTCCCACCTCAGCCTCCCACAGTGCTAGGATTACAGGTGTGAGCTACCACGCCCAGCCTATATTTTCAATAACAGTTAGGAACCATTTTTTTTTTTTTTGACAGAAGAATTCTTTCTTTGCCCAAATGTAAAATACTTAAGGTTTAAGATCCCCACCACTGTTTTAAAAAGCCAAACAAACAAACAAAAAAACCAAGGTGACATAAAATAGGCATGGAAATTTCTCATAAAAGTCACAAGAATTTTAGGCCATATTAACTTTCTGGCTTTGAAAGCAAACCTTGACAATGTTTCTTTAACAGAAAATAGGAATTAAAGGCAAGCATCAAAAAAATTACCTTGTTAATTCAAGCACTGTAATATCGCTTTATTTTTAAATTGGATTTCTATATCAATGACTAATATCTATGCAGTATCATATATATTAGTTACTACAAGGAAACTGGATACATGGTATTTGAATTGAAAAGCCAATTCATTCTTCTGAATAAAAGATTTATCTAGGTTTTCTTTGAGACTCTCCGAAATCTCCATTATTTGGTTTTTGTTGTAGAAAACGGGGACAACCATATGGATATTTCTGGCTTAACGCCTGCTTCCCCTAAGACTTCCGCATGATGTTCCACCTACACGATGGCTGTGTGAGTTCTGTCCTGTAGGAGGAAGCAGAGGAGCAGTAACAGTCTGAACAGAGAAGTCACCCAATGTGACTAACTATCACAAAGGAGACAGGACAAAGTGAGGGGTGGGAGAGACAAGTGCTGGGTACCCCATGATGCCAGCTGGTGAGGGTACTGCTCTCAAAACATCACAGAGAAAGAAGAAAGGGTAATGTCAGGTCAGATTCAAGAGCACTAATACAAACAGAGATGCTTCTTAATTTATCCAACATCTGACCTGCTTTTAGGGAACAGAAAATCATGGCTATAAGAGGGAACAGAGCTGGGACAAACAGAAGGACGACAGATGGACACACATGCAGCTCTGCCAAGGAGGAGTGTGAATCAGAAAAGGCCGGGCTCCTGTTGCATCTTTCCTTCTAGCTTCCCTCCCCACAAATGTGTTAGGAAAAACTTCCAGCTTCCGAGAAGGAATTCCATCTCAGAGGAACCACTTTTCAGGATGTGTGTGACATGACTGAAGTCAGGAATTTCAAGCAACCCAAGCTGATTCTTCTCCTTGCTGATGTTCAAACACTGATCATTTTTTCCTCATCATTTGATGTTTCCAAATCTTACACCATTCCTGCACATACAAAGCATAATGTGGGTCGGGCGCAGTGGCTCACGCCTGTAATCCTAGCACTCTGGGAGGCCGAGGCGGGTGGATTGTTTGAGCTCAGGAGTTCAAAACCAGCCTGAGTAAGGGCGAGACCCCGTCTCTACTAAAAAAAAATAGAAAGAAATTAATTGGACAACTAAAAACATATAGAAAAAATTAGCCGGGCATGGTGGTGCATGCCTGTAGTCCCAGCTACTAGGGAGGCTGAGGCAGGAGGATCGCTTGAGCCCAGGAGTTTGAGGTTGCTGTGAGCTAGGATGACGCCACGGCACTCTAGCCCGGGCAACACAGTGAGACTCTGTCTCAAAAAAAAAAAAAAAAGCATAATGTGAAGAAAGCTGGAATGATATGGTTTATCTGATCAGCAGAGCCTGCAATCTGAATCTGGGACTAAAAGTTATTCTTTTGATTTTGAATTTTCCAAACTGTCAAAAAATACCAAGAAAACTGGATCATCTATTTATACTGCTTAAATAACCAGAGTGCTGATTTTTCACAAACATGCCTTTTGTTCATCTAGGTCTCATATATGATTCCAGGTGCTATCAAGGGAGGCTAGAACATTGTCCAAAACCCATTTGCTTCTTAAGTCCTTTAAAAAAAGGCAAGAATAGAATAAAAAGACAGAGAAAGTGCACGGTCCATTTAACTGAGGCAGAGTTCTTCATGAGGGAGTGACAGTACCTTGCTCACAGGGCAGAGTAGGTGTCTTTGGGGAAGTATTAATAACAAGAGGTCAGATTCACCTGGACTCTCTCCTAGGCTGGCAGTGGGTGTTTTTTGTTTTTCTCCATTTGTTTTAGCCCAAGGGCTAGTTTAGGAAAATTTACTGGCTGGAATTCTTTTTTTTCCATTCAAAATGAAAATAGTTTTATTGAGTCCTGTGGAAAAAATGTTCTTCCTTCAAAGTTAAGATGACCAACAAGATAACAGGCACTGTTTTTAGCACTAACATATTTAACATCTGGGTATATTTAGGAAGTAGGAATGAGGGGAGATACTTTTTAGTGTTTTGATCATGAAAACAGGTTGCAGTCTAGGACCTGGATCACCATTCTGGATAACTTTAACCTTCTGAGAGAAAAGAATTCTCCAAGTTCACATTGTCTTTCTTTCTTTCTTTTTTTTTTTTTTTTTTTTTTTTTTTTTTTTTTTTTTTTTTTTTTTTTTTTTTTTTTTGAGGCCGGGTCTTGCTCTGTCACCCAAACTAGAGCACAGTGGCATCATCATAGCTCACTGCGGCCTCAAACTCCTGGGCTCAAGCAATCTTACTGCCTCAGCCTTCGGCGTAGCTGGGACTACAGGCACGCACCACCACATCTGGCTAATTTTTTCTATCTTTGGTAGAGATGGGTTCTTACTCTTGCTCAGGCTGGTATCAAACTCCTGGCTCCAAGGGATCCTCCTGCCTCAGCTTCTCAGAGTGCTAGGATTACGGGTGTGAGCCACCACACCCGGCCCAAATTCCCATTTCCTATCTGGCCTAAATGAAATTATGGGACACCTCTCAGTGTGAATATCCTTTGTTCTAGCGATAGTACTTTGCCATTGTTGTGTCCAACTGCTAGATAAAGTTCAAGATGTGATATTTTATAAGTTAATTTGCCTTCGAGGTACTTTGAGGCTGTCTCTGAATGGTTACCAGCATGAGCTGCTCATAGATCCAAAGCGTATGGCCGTGGTGCACCACACACCACCCATCCATATCAAACCTCCTCCCCATCCTACCCACAGGACAAAATCCTCAAACATCCTTCTGGAAAAACAAAACAAAACAAAAACCTCTGGAAGTTACTACACTAAAAGAAGCAATGTTAAGGAAACTCTTTCTACAGTGTAGGATTTCCACAGAGGGAAAAACACTATTCCACTTTCTAATAACTTTCCTTTGACAAATATCTTTACTCAACTGATATTTATCAAACACCCATAATAGCCAACTATAGAACTCTGTGCTTTTCTTTATAAGAATGAGCCCAATACCCACCCTAGCGAAGTGGTCATTTCCAAGAAGAGTTTGCAGGAGCACAGGCAGCTGCTTCTCCAGGTGAAGCTTAAGGCAGAGCTGGGTCAGTTCTTCACGGTCCAAAAATCCAGTCCCTGTGGTGTCACAACTGCTGTAGACTTCCCTGAGCTGTGAGACATAGTGGTTCTCTTCTTCTTCATCCATCCCATCGCAGGCTTTCCTCACCAGGGGAAAAAGAAAAACATCAGCACCCTTTCTTCACCACCTCTCCCACGTTCCCACACTGTAAAATGGGTGTAGGCCTGGACACAGGCAGGAGCCGGTGAGTGGAGAAGGCACCAGGAGCCCCCCGGGGTCATGGGCAGGAATCAGCTCTACCCTTGAAGGAGAGGCCAAAGCAGGTGAACAGGGAGCAAGGGTAGAAAAACTGGTCCTTCAGTCACTGGTCACAAGAACCAGAATTTCTTTGTTGTGTAAAAAACATCTATTATAGAATAATTTGAAAATAGAGATAAGTATAAAGAGAAGTAAGACCACTCAAAATTCCACCACTGCTAGGCATGGTGATGGTGGCTCACACCTGTAATCCCAGTACTCTGGGAGGCTGAGGCAGGAGGATCACTTGAGCCCAGGAATTCAAGATCAGCCTGGGCAACATAGCAAGACCCTGTCTCTACAAAAAAATTTTAAAAATTAGCTGGGCATGATGGTACGTGCCTGCAGTCCCAGCTACTGGGCTGGGGAGAGGGGGAGCGATGATTTGAGACAAGAGGACCACTTGAGCCCAGGCATTTGAGGTTGCAGTGAGCTATCATCCTGCCACTGTACAGAGCAAAACCCTGTCTCTAAAATAAATAAATAAATGAAATACACAGAGAGTGCTAATAAGCAAATCACAAAAGAAAAAATACATACATGATTAATAACCATCTAAAAATGCTCAAATTAAAACAAAGAGATACTATTTGTGACTATCAAATTATCGAGACTAAAAACCTTCGATGCTGAGGCTACGGTATGAAGGGGAATCTCACACTTTGCCGGAGGAAGGGACAATTGGCAAATGTTTCTGGAAAGGACTCTGTCTATATATCAACATCTTTAAAACATTCTATCTTACCTAGTTATTTCACTTACATTCCTTACAGAAATTCCTTATATTTAAGAAAACAGAGCTAAAGACAAAGATACGAGCTCATCAGAATATTATTTATAGAAGGACAGGAAAAAAAATAACCTAAAATATCTAACAAAAGATGAAAGTTTGACAAGTTATACTGTATTTATATGACAGAAAGTATTGAAAATCACATTTCTGGAGAGTATTTAATAGCATGGGAAGGGTAGTAGGATAAAAATAGCAAAAAACCTATTTATAATAATAGCTAATATACTTACTGGTCACTTTACATATAAAACTTCATTTATGCCTTATAAAAATTCTATCAAGGAGCTTCTGCAACTTTCTGGGAGAAAATACATTCAAAAAAAGGGGGAAAATGGGGGATAAAATCCACTAAAATGGCAAATGGTATATTTCCTATTTTATGTATTTTTATATATCTCAAGAATTTTGTAACAAGTAGAACACTTTCATTACCAGAAAAATGTTACTAAAACATGAAAGGCATTAGATCCTAAAGATTTTAGGATTAATCATACCAAACTACCAATACTGGATTATTTTGACCCACAAACATGGCAATTTCATACGGTTTGGCCTGTTATCATATGGTTCAGGCACAAGAGCTAAGGAATTCCAGAAAAGAAAAAATATAAGGAAATAAAAACATGGAAAGTCAATCAAGCTCATTAATAATCAAATAGTTCATAAATATGAGACAACATAAGGCCCAGCACAACAAACGCCAATTTGATACAGATATCGTTTCAGTACGGCAGGTGGTGTTTACCCGCCATTGCCCACATGCAGCAGGGAGGTCACAGTCGGAAGAGGAATGTATGAGGGGTTGAAATCTGTGCAGATCAACTCCCCAGTGGAAAATCTGCAAGCTCATCATCTTACTCAGGAAAGCAATATAATCAATGACATAAAAAATTAATGTTAAGTAGAATCTTCACGGTGATATTTCACTGTGATCATAAAAGGTGAAATACCTCAACTGACTTCTGAATTAAACACCTGTTGATAAGCTGTAAAAACATCCATTTCCACACTGAGAATGAACATGATCGCAGGTCGCATGCAGGTGTAAGAGATGACGAACCTGCACACCTGTGTGGGCTCGCCCTGTTTGCTAATCAAGTTATTTATGCCTTCTCAGACAGGAGGTACATAGAAGTTAAGAGCGAGCAGTGAACATCTACCCCTCTTTCCAACTGTTTTGAGATGGTTAACTGCAAAAAAAAAAAAAAATCCAGAATGAAAATGGACAGAAAAACATAAACTATAAATCAGAAGGCAAACTGAATAATGTATTAATAAGTCAACATCTGTCAAACTACAGGTCTCCCTCCCTAACTGGGACACTCTACCCTCCTTGGTGAGCTAGGTAAAGCCGCTAATCTTTGCAAATGCTAATTTTTTATAAGCCAGTAGTAAATTGACAGGAGAATGAACCCACAGTAGGAAAGACCAATGGTAAAATTCAGGATCCGAAAGGTGGGGAATGAGGACACGGAAGGCGGAGAGGCCGGGAGGACGCACCCGAGGGAGAACTGAACGGCGCACCTCCAGCAGGGCCCGCCTGCACCCCAGGGCCCGACTTCCTGGTGCTCCGTCCCAACTCCCACCCCTGTGTCTCCACAGATCATCAACAAATCTAGTTTATCTTTATCTGTAACTAATTCAAACAATTAGAAATATATAAAATAAAACAAAAAAAATCCTGTCCCTCTACCCTCTCCGACTGCCCAGAGGAAATGACTGTTGGGAGTGCAGGCTTTGAGATGATTTCCAAGTCTTAGGACAATGGACGGCCAGGCACATGTACACATACGACACACATCCACAGTATTTTTACGTGACACTGGACGTATTATTTTCCAACTTGTTTTTAAGCTTACGCTATCAGAGGTCCTTCCATGCCTTCCTGTGCAGGGGTGTAACATCATGTATCTAAATATCCCCCAAAAGGGATGTCAGGTGAATCCAGGGTTTTCTTACAAAACCTCCTGCAGCAAACACCCCTGTTCATTCACCGAGTGAGCCCTGAGAGGGGTGAACCAGCCACATTTCCCCACTGAAACCTCCCTGGCAGGCTGTGCCTTCCAAACGGTTCAGGAGTACTCCCGGGGCAACTGGGTTTGGAGAAGCATTAAACAGCCGGGCTGTTTTCCCAAGGTCAGAGGGTAAAGGAAAGAAACCTCTTCATCTCCCAGCTGTGGGCAAGTCCTGCACCAAAGCCAGCTGGGCCCCGATCTCAGTCCTCCCTGCACCACAGCTACTTTTATTTACACAGGGAAAGGCACAGAATGGGGACACAAGGTTCTTGCTTAGGTGCATCTTTCCCCTTCTAAACAGAAGAGAGAAAAAGCCTCAAACTGGAGGCTGAAGAGCCCCAGCTGCCCCTGGAAGGGCAGGGTCTGCATGTGGCAAGGCCTGGAGGTGAGCCAGGAGCCCAGAACCATGGCACCACACACCCGCTGTGGACCAAGGAGAGGCACAAAGAAATAATCTGCCGAGACCAGACTGCAGGGGCAGCTCCTTCCCCATCTCCCACAGCAGCTGTGTCCCACCAGGCCCCTCTACCTTTGGGGTACTCAGGAGGTCCCAGCCATACCACCTCGTCTCCTCCTGGGGCCACAGCAATAATGCACCACCTCAGAAGCACAGACCAGGCCCTCAACAGATGCCAGGCATGCTGGCGCCTTGATTTTGGACTTCACAGCCTCCAGAACTGTGAGAAATGTAATAAATTCCTGTTCTTTATCGTCCAGTCTCAGGTATTTTGTTATAGCAGCACAAACGGGCTAAGACACTATCTAAGGAGGCCCTGAGAGGAGGAGTTCCCAAGACCAGGTGGGACTGACAACCACGGTCCTCACAAGTCCACAGCCCACCTGGCCCTCCTGCCCGCCAGACAGATGGGTACCAGGGAAGGGCCTTGGAAGCACCCCCAATATTCTCAGGGCCCACCTCAGTGCAGAAGGCTTGATGCGCACCCTTCAAATTCCCCAAATGCCAGAAATGTCTTGGATTTACATTTTTATACCCCACAGTGTATAATGAACCCATTTAAGCAGCAGCAATACAACGATGCAATTTAGCTATTTCAAAGGCAAGGTCACCAGCATGATGTGTCCATTTAAAGTCTGGGCTGCTGCTGCCAGAACAAACATGGATACAGGTCTAGGGTGGGGCAGCGACAAGCTGGGGATGAACTGGGAGGGGCACTTTCAGCAAGGAGGCAGCAGCAGTCCAGGAGTGGGGGGCGCATAAGCTCTGGAACCTTCCTAGTATCTGGACTGTCATGGAAGAGAGATCTGGAAAATCGAGCCTCAGCAAACCCTTGCCTGCTCTCACCACATCACATGGGACTGGCCATGGGTGTGGCACACCTGCCCAGACTTCTGCCCTAGGATTCCAGGATTAGGTGAGATGCAGGTGTGGACACTGGAGGTTAAAGGGCATCAAAGGGGCACTCCATGAGCACTGATGCCATAGCCAGTGGGACAAGCCCACCCATCTGACCAACCAGCCCCCTCAAGGCAAGCTGCCAATCTGCCCCGCTGTCACATTTCCTAACCCCCATCCAAGACAAGGGCCATCCAGATTTTCAAAATAATGGGAAAAAGGAGTTACTGTCTCTATTCACGCCCTCCCCTCAGCCCAGGATGGTGGTGGAGAGGGGTGGTACCCTTCTGTAGCCTCTCCAATACCATATGACCAACCTTAGCAGTTGGGACAGTTGCAAACCCTGGCCAGGAGGGCTCAGAAAAACTCCCAGTCTCCAAAGGAAGACTGTTTTCACCTGGAAAACAGGGGCTGAGCTCAGTCCACAGGAGAACACTGCTTCGGGGGCGGGGGGGGGGGCACACCACTGTAAGCATCTGCCCTGGGCTCAGGTGACAAGACACTATATAAACTGTAAACACAATGGAATTGTCGAAGGTCTCTGGAGCAGTCTGCATGTGGGGCTCAGAAGTCCAGTGCTCACACACGTTCCATTCACTGGAGACTGGAGCCAGTGATGGGGGGGCACACGGGAGAGGAGAGGGGAGTAAAGACAGGCCTGACCCAAGACGCA